AAAAAAAAAAAAAAAAGAGGCAGTGAAATAAAAAGAAAAAGGCGGTGACTGACCGATCGGAGCCTGGCTGCAGGAGCTGATGTCAAACTGCCAGACCCAGCACCAACCAAACCAAGCTCTGCCGCCCCGGTGCCCAGCGGAGGCAAATATTGACTGGAGGTTTATTGAGCACAAACCTCTGAAGTGGGAAAGCAGATACGGGAATCCCTCTCGACCCTCCGACCTGACTGTGGAGGCGTGCTGGGGCCGCTCTTGGAAAGTGACCACATTTCCCGAGAAAACTTGTATCTGGTGGGCTTCCTGTATGTATGTATGTGTCTGGTGCTGTTTTTGAGACAAGGTCTTGCTACATATTTCAGACTGGCCTTGCATCACAGTGATCCTCCTGCCTCAGCCTCCCAAGTGCTATGGTTACAGGCATGTGCCCCCATGCCCGGCCACACGGGCATATTTGTTAAAGTGGGAACGTCAGCCATCTCTGTGTCCAGCATGTGTGGATGGGAGCCTGGGCCCTCGACTTCCCATTCTCCTTGTCAGACACCGCCCAGGGTGGCCCCACCCGCCCCTCAGTACCTTCCAGTGTCCGCCCCACGTGACCCCAACCCGCAGGGCGGGGGCGGGGGGGGGGCTTTGCCTTCCTCACTGCTGCAAGTGTGGGGTCAGACTGGCTCGGGGAAGGGGGAGGTGGCTGGTGACGAGAGGGTCCCCATCCCGCGAGGCTTCTCTGGGCTCTGCGCTGAGGGAAGGCGGCTTAGTCCCGGTCCTGGCAGGAGCCCTGCAGTCAAGACAGGCGTCGCAGTCCCTTGGTGCTGCGTCCGTGTGGCATAGGGCAAATCACCGGCCTGCCCGAGCCCTAGTCCCAACCCGTGACAGGAACAGGGAGAACTTTCTCGGGTGGGGCCAATCCCTTCCTACCCCGTGAGTCACAGCCTGGCCCGGGCCTGTGAGAGCTAACCAGGTTCTGCAGTAGGAGGAGAGTTTGCTGCCGGAGAGCGGAAGGAAAAGCAGCACAACAGCTCGGCAGCAGGGCCAGGCCCCGTGGCCTTGAGACCGTGTGAGCACAGGTTTTGGGGTGACTCCACGCTGGGGGGCTGGGGCTGGAGGAGGCGCCCCAGGGGACATGGAGGGGAGGCCACCCCGGCAGCAGGTGACACACTGAGAAGGCGCAGGGCCCCTGGCCCACGTGGAGGGTGCGAAGACGCTGCGAAGCTAAGGGGCGCTCAGAGACTGGGCTAAGGGGAACAGACCTCCAGGCCGCAGCCCTGGTGCCGGATGAGCCCAGGAGCCAGGGGCTTGAGGTGAAGGGCGGAGCAGGATCCCGGCCACCGCCCCTGCGCAGAGGTCGATTTCCTGGAGACAGGGGACCTGCCCACCGGTCTCCGCCTCCAGCACCAAAAAGGAGGAAAGGACCGAGGTTTCGTGCCTGGTGGCATTAACGTACAAAAAATATTTATTAGCCCAGGTTCCCTCTTCTCGGTGTAACATGCGCACGACGTCGGGAAGCCCGAGGAGGCCCGACGGGCGACGGGCCGCGGTGCGGCACTGCACTGCCGCTGCACTGCGTGAGGCCCAGAAGCCCGGACCGCAGCGTCCGCGGGCTCGCTGTGCCCGCCCGGGAGCCCGAGCGGCAACACGCTGCACAGACGCCGCGGGCTCTCTGGGCACAGGCGGTGGCGCGCCCTCCCAGCCGGAGGGTGGGGCCCGGTCCCTGGGGAGCTTGGCCGGCGGCAAGGCCTCGCGGGCCTGGCACCTCCCTGCGGTGACGTCAGGAGGCTGCACACCCAGGGGCCGGAAGCACACCCAGCCGAGGTGAGGCTCCGCGGTCACCTCTCCGCCAAGCACCAAGGTGTCACTGCTGCTTGTGCGGGACGGCCTTCCGGCTGGGCGGGAGCTTCCTGTGGATCAGGGTGAGCCCGCAGAGGATGAGGAACACGCCTCCCCACCACAGCACCTCCTGGCACTCGCCGTACAGCACGTAGCCCAGCAAGGCCTGCGGGCAGAGACAGCGTGAGGGCACCGCTCCCCGTGGCCAGCGCCGCAGGTCTGCAGCCAGAAGCTGGGCCTCCCCTTCCTCTCCCAGCCCCGGGCCCCAGCAGAGTGTGGGGGGAAGACCCCGGGAGACACCCGGGCTGGGAGGGACCTCAAGCAGAGGCTCCCACCTCTGCAGGGAGTAGATAGGCTCTTTCCAGTCAGGCTTCGTTCCCACCTCCAGAGGTCTCACGTTTAACTGCTCTGTGGCTGAGGAGCAGCCAGGCAGCGGTCAAGGCTCAACCCAACCCCAAGTCACTTCCTGTCCCTGCTGCCTGGGCTCCTCAAGGACAACACACTCAGGGCCCAGGTTTAGGACAGGGCACCATGGGCACCGTGCCCTCAGGGTACTCACCGAGCTGAGGATGTTTGAAAAGGTCACTGTGACCGATGCAATGGCTGATGACATGGAGAAACTGAGGCCCCGGCTGAAGAAGGTCCACATCAGAGAATTGGCACTGAACATCGTAACAATGCCTACGACGCAGAAGCCCATGTGGACCTGCAGAAGAAAGGGTCACTGCAGCCACCCTCCCAGGACACCCGAGAGCGCAGGCAGCCTCAGAACTCCCCGTACGGGCTCCCGTGACGGCCAGTGCGAGGCAGACCCATCTACAGCGCACCGAACTCAGGAAGACCCTGGCTGGCCACGCGGCCTTGGGCAGAAGCAAAATGTGAATGCAGGACAGTACTTCCACTGAGCACAAGCCCGTCTTCCACAGTGCCAGTGCGGGGCCCCAGGGCCCCAGCGCGTGGTGGCCCCATTACCTGGCATGCGATCTGAGGTCAGGGGTGCAGCCCTACTTCTGGGGTCAGGCTGAGTACAGCAGCCCAGAACCGAGCTGTCTCCACCCAGTCTGCTCGAGCGCTGCGTCCCCTAAGGCGGCCCATCAGGGCGTCTGGGCTCCTTGCGCTGTGTACTCAGGGCATTCGTTTGCCCATCTGTTTTGTTTTGTTTTTTTTTTTTTGGTACTGGGAATCGAACTCAGGACCTTGTGCTTGCCAGGCAGGTGCTTGCGCCACTGAGCTGTATCCCCAGCCCCATAAATTTCTACTTAACTATCAGATGTTTGGTTTTTTTTTTGTACCAGGAATCGAACTCAGGACCTTGTGCTTGCCAGGCAGGTGCTTATGCCACTGAGCTATATCCCCGGCCCTATGCCCATCTGACAGATGAAGACGGGGAGGCATTGTGTCACTTCCCTCAAGTGCCAGTGGACAGCACCCCCAGGATTCAACCCCAGCAGCAGGCCCCAAGCCCCTCACTGGGACCCAGCCCTGCCTCAGACAGGCCACCCGGGCCATGCGTCCTCTCAGACATCACTTGGAGAACCCGCAGCAAATGTGTTTCCCCTCTTTCTCTCCTGGTTTTTAATGGGAGAAAACTTTGACAGCAGAAAAGGTCTTTAGAAGTCCCCTGCCCAAAGGTCACGCAGCGCTTGCTTGGCTGTGAGGAAGGAACCAGCCAGTAGGCTCACCGTTTCCCCCAAGGTAGGGCCCATTCACACAATTTTAAAAATTTTTTTATTTTTTTGAGACTGAGTCTCGCTATGTCTTGTCCAGGCTGGCCTTTAACCCACTATGTAGCTCTGTCTGGCCTCAAAACTTGTGATCCTCCTGCCTCAGCCTCCCGAGTGCTGAGATTACAGGTGTGTGCTACCACACTCGGCATCATCATTCTTATTTCTTGCCAATTTTCCAGCAGCTGAATACCAAGTGTCTTGAGGACAGGGGCCCTTGTAATTTACACAAAGGCGTGCTACAGGCCAGCGGCAGTCTCTCCTATAACACGTGAAGAGTTAGGCAACGCACATCACAACCGCAAAGACTAAGGAACTTCACGGCCCACGCACCCAAGAACTGCGCCCAACAGAATGCTAACTTCCAGCAGGGCAGCTCTCACTACAGGTGCCCGCAATGGGCTAGAACCTAAATACGGCATCTCCTGCCCTGGCCAGGGCCCAAGCCTGGGTTGCAGGGGCAGTGAGAGCCTCGCAGCAAACAGGCTGGTGTGGACCGGGGAGAGGCTCGAGGTGCAGTGCTGCACACGGAGGCAGCGGCTCGGGACTTCTCTCTGCTAGGTGAGTTCTAGGACCCATCTCTCACGGCTCCTTCGCGCCTGGGTTACCCCGACCACCAGTTTTCCCGGCAGCAGGTTAGCTCGGTCAGAAGACCCACGAATGACGTTGGTGACGGAGGAAAGAGATGGGCGACAGGTTTCTCACCTTCACAGTCGCGCGCAGAGAAAGGCTGAAGCCCGTCTAAGGGCTTAAAATGAGAGGTGGGAGGTGGCGGTGTCCCCGGGAGCGAGAGGCCCGGCGCACGGGCGGGCGGGGCGCCTGCAGGGAGCGGCCTGGCCCCGCGCCGACGCCCCC